TCTATGTTCATAAGAGATACTGGCCTATAGTTTTCTATTTTGGTGGTGTCCTTTCCTGGCTTTGGTATCAAGGATATTGCTCAAATGACTTTTAAATTATCTTCAACAAGATTTTACTTTAAGTATTAACCCAGATGAAAGGAGAAGAAATAAATGCCTTTTCCTTAGAAGTAAGTTCAGAAGAACTCTATCACAATAATTGTTGACAGCCCTAACTCGGCACAGTCATCTCAAATGCACATTTTTACTAACAGGAAATCAGATAAAATAATCACATTGTTTCTTTATTGTCAATGGGGGGGGGGGGGGCGGAAAACCTCTTGTTTTTTAGATTTTGGTTTTTAAGCCTTCTATACCTCTTAATTTTCCTTTGTAACTGTGGGTCTGCAAGCATAAACTCCAAGTTTGCCACAATAAAGTTGGACAGTTATAGTTAAGAGTTCTGTATTATACAAAGGGGTTAGAAAATGCTACCATGCACTTAGAGTGTGTCATTTAATTTTATTATGATTTGATGCACTATGTAAAATTCGAATTCTAAAGCATAATTCTTAGTGTTTCAGACAATGTTAACTTGTTCTAAAAAACAATGAAGCAGTAGTCTTTTTTAAAAAAAAATCTTAAAGCAGCTTATTATTAAGGGAGCTCCAGAGCAGAATTTCTTGGTCTGGAGAGAAAGACAAACCAGGGGAAAATTATGCCCAGGTTGTGGTCTTACTGCAGATTTGACTCTTAACCCACAATGACTTGAGAGAACAGTTTTACATGAATGCAACTGCAAAACTGGTCTAAATTAATAATCAAGTAACTATCCTTTGTGACTAGCACTCAGTAGTCAATGTGTCAGATTCAGTAAGATATAAATCCTCTCAATGACAATTCCCAAACCCAAACAAAAAGTTTAAAACTGTAAGCAGGTTAAAAGTCTGTTGTTTTCTCCATAAACTTGTTTCTTCATAAACTTAAAAAATAGCAATATACTAAAAGGGTTGTATACTTTCTGGGTGCCAACACTATTATGATAGAGAAAAGGAGGAATAACACACACACACACACACACACACAAAATGCTGCAAAAACCTCTGGGAAAGACAGATGTGTGGAACAAATACATGTTACTTGGTCATAGGAACAGAGGGACAGCAATTCTACACTGAGAATAGGGAGTAAAATGTCAGAGATTTCTTCCCTGTGGAAATGTCTCCTATACTAAACTCCACAATGAACAGAAATTCAGAAAAATAGTAGTGATTATGAGGATGGCACAGACTAATGTACTGAGTTGTATCTGACTGTAGCTGACAAGATGACACCTAACAGGAAGGAGTGGAGTTAGGGTTACATAAAAAAAATGCTATACAGACATAACTAGGATGTTTTAGGAAACCAAATAGTTAAGGCATAAACGTACAATCAAACTCAGTGGCTAACAAACCACAAACTCATCAAGTAATTTTACTTTACACTATAGAAGTATTTGTATTTAAAAGTTAGTTGGGCCCTTGGGCCTGGGGCCCTCTAACCTGGTATTAATTATGTTTGGGGAGAACATTGTCTTAGGTGGTACAGCACTTGTCTGTCAGTTTGCTGTACTGAGATAACTTGGGGCTATTTATAATACTGAAAGCTGTGCCACTGGTGTGTCAAATGCCATAAGGGTTACCCATGGTAGACAGGTTTTGGTGGAGCTCCCTGATTAAGACAGACTAGGAAGCAGGATAGGCCATCTACTTCTTTTTATCACCCATGAAGAAAGCAAAACATTATTACAAAAAGAGAGGAGAAAGAAAAAAATTCAAACGGATGTCAGAAGATATACTAAATATTATAATGGAGCATCGAAAATGCAAAACAGAAACATGTTGAAGTAAAAGAGCTGAACAGAAGATTTCAAAGGGCAGCTTGGGAGGACAACACAAAGTATTATAATGGAATGTGAAGAGAGCTAGAATTGGAGAATAAAAAGGTAAGAACTTGCTCTGCATTTCTTAAGTTGAGAGAATTGTAAAACCAAATTTAAGCCTTAAGTCACAATATTGAAAATGCAATATATTGAATGACTCAGAAAGATTCAAAAGAAGTTGGAGGAATGAACACTGCATTTAAATTGATGAGAGAAAGAATTGTCTAAAAGAAATATCTGATAAGGTATTATATACATGACAACAGTCCAGAGTAAGAGGTACATAGCAAAGTAGACCGGGCGGGGGTGGGGGTAGGTAGCTGTGCAACAATGAAAGAATCTTTTTAAAGAGAAAATCAAACTGGGGGCTAGGGGTGGTAAGAAGGAAAATGTGCAGTAATGAATTAATAGAAATCGAAGTTTTCT